CCATGTCTAATGCTGAGTGCCCCATGTCTTCTACTGAGTGCTCCATGTCCAATGCTCAGTGCCCCATGCCTAATGCTGAGTGCCCCATGTCTTCTACTGAGTGCCCCATGTCCAATGCTCAGTGCCCCATGTCTAATGCTGAGTGCTCCATGTCTAATGCTGAGTGCCCCATGTCTAATGCTGAGTGCCCCATGTCTAATGCTGAGTGCCCCATGTCTAATGCTGAGTGCCCCATGTCTAATGCTGAGTGCCCCATGTCTTATGCTGAGTGCCCCAGGTGTCCTTTCCAATAATGGTTGCCATTAAATATGATCCTGTAGATGAACATATTTCACTCTTGGACATCCATTCCTTCCTCCAGTAGTATCAGCATTTCCCCTCCCAGTTATTTAGAATCATGTTATGTAGCGAGTAATCTAGAGAGAATCCGGCATTTTTGATCTACTACTTGGCTTACTAAGCAAAGGAATGCCCATTGAATAATGATGACATATATTATATACACGGGATGTTTGTGAAACATAATTTTCAATTTTACATCTTCAGTTATGTCATCAGATGTAAGAGGATTTGTTTTAATACGAGTGTATCAAAGGGCAATGAGAAACAACATCACCTACTAGTTAGGTGCAATGAAATCTCCCCTATGGGACACAGAAGGCAAAAAAAGACAGGGGGTTGAACCCTTCTCCATTCTATGCAAAAATAAAATAAATGTTTTGTTTTAGATAAACTTCACTTTTTTATACTAGAAACCTCTCAACATTTCCTTCTAGTTCTCCGAGTGTTTTTGGACTCCAGAAATGACCCCTTTGTACCGTGTATGATGAATAAGGGGCTTTGCTTTTCAGACAATGATCCTGGCTGCCCCCCAATAAGTAGACAGGAAATGTAATCCTCTGATATCTTACAAATGTGTTTTCTTGCAGGCTCAGGAACAAGAACGTGGAACCGAGTGACAAGTAGCATCTGCGATCAAAGAGAAGAGCGACTGGCACTCTACAGGCTGTTGGCATCTACAGAGTAAGTGACACCCACTACTTACACAGGAAGGTATAATGATCTGTCCTCAATCATATGAAAAAATGGCACCTTTAAATCCTTCATCAGATGGGGAAGGGGGGAGGGCATTTCACAACTTCCTGGAGTTTTTCTTTAATCATTGTTTGTTGGATTATTTCTTAAACTATTGATTACCCTATTGATTGGTTCATTAGGCAGGTGAATGTATTTCTGTATTATGTCACTGTCTGAGTATGGTAATGGACTCTCTGTGTCCTCAGGTCCCATCCAGAATGAAGGCTCTGGTGACTTTGCTTTTGCCGGGGTGGTTGGGTCTGGCTTGGTGCTGCAACCCTCAGTCTGGAGGTAAGAATAATGTAAAGGTTAAAAAAAAGCAAATAATAATGACTATGGGGCGCTAGATGAGGAGGAAGGTCTGAATACACTCTCACCACAGCAGCTTATTGATAAAAAGAAATAATGAATTTGATTTGCAGAGCTTTGTGTGTCAATCCGCTGTATATTAGAGGAAGCTGCTGCAATCTACAAAGTTCTGATACCCCGAATATCAGAAATATATGTAACTGTATAAGTAGGGGTGAGGAGATTTGAGCGCTCACCTATCACAGTGTATTGGGTCAGTTGGGGTAACAAGTTGGAATGGATACAAAGTTACAATGTGAAATACAGATATGTTTTCCTTTCAGAGCCAGAGCCGTCCATTGTGATCCCCATTGTAGAAGGGACAGGACACTGCAGGGCTGGAACAGAGACGTTTGCCTATCAGTCTGGACATGATTTATTGTCTATCTGTAGGACACTCCAGACCAACTTCTTTGTTGGCTCAGGCCATGGGATTTGTCCGTATGAAATATGAAACTAACACTGGCAGGAAAGCCATCCATGTGCCTTTAGGTGTTTAGTAGGGATGAGCTCCAGTCTGGACTGAACCTGAGTTCAGCACCCCATAAGGAAGCTGTCAGTGTCAGCCCATTTAGCTGCGGCCGGGGCATTCCCTGCAGATGCATGTAAACAAAGGAATGGAGTGATGGTGACGTCATTGACCTTATATAGCCTGTTTGTTCCAAACTTCCATGTAAATCATTGATTAAAATAGAATGTTTCTTAAGCTTACTTCACATATTCTAACAAAAGGGGAAAATTGGTGCTGATATAGAGGAGAGATCTGAAAGTCATCGTCCACCTGAGGAGGAGGAGGAGTGTCCGCTTCTCGAAACAAGTTGGCTGACAGCTAAGAAGACCCGAGCGAAACACTATGGACTGAACCCGAGCTCATGCATTTGTCAATAACCAAACAAGGCCATGTGACCATATAAGTTCAATGATATCACCAGCATCCCGCCCCTTTGTTTACTTGCAGCTGTGGGTAGGGAATGCCCTGGCTACAGCTGACATGATCAGCACCGACAGCTTTCTTCCAGGGATCCAATAAGCTCGGGTTTGCTCCAAAACCGTGCTCTTCCCCACTGAACACCTGAATGTGCATAAGCGGCGTTTCTGTCTCGCGCCTCCCACCTTGCTGGCCACCAGCATGAGGTTCTTATCGACTGGAACTCCATACCAGTTATTACAGACAGCTTCCTTTCACTGACTCAACTCTACACCACCCCTATGATAATTCATCTCTACACCACCCCCTATGATAACTCAACTCTACACCATCCCCTATTATAATTCAACTCTACACCACACCCTATGATAATTCAACTCTACCCCCCCCCCCCTATGATAATTCAACTCTACCCCCCCCCCCCTATGATAATTCAACTCTACCCCCCCCCCCCTATGATAATTCAACTCTACCCCCCCCCCCCTATGATAATTCAACTCTACCCCCCCCCCCCTATGATAATTCAACTCTACCCCCCCCCCCCTATGATAATTCAACTCTACCCCCCCCCCCCTATGATAATTCAACTCTACCCCCCCCCCCCTATGATAATTCAACTCTACCCCCCCCCCCCTATGATAATTCAACTCTACCCCCCCCCCCCTATGATAATTCAACTCTACCCCCCCCCCCCTATGATAATTCAACTCTACCCCCCCCCCCCTATGATAATTCAACTCTACCCCCCCCCCCCTATGATAATTCAACTCTACCCCCCCCCCCCTATGATAATTCAACTCTACCCCCCCCCCCCTATGATAATTCAACTCTACCCCCCCCCCCCTATGATAATTCAACTCTACCCCCCCCCCCCTATGATAATTCAACTCTACCCCCCCCCCCCTATGATAATTCAACTCTACCCCCCCCCCCCTATGATAATTCAACTCTACCCCCCCCCCCCTATGATAATTCAACTCTACCCCCCCCCCCCTATGATAATTCAACTCTACCCCCCCCCCCCTATGATAATTCAACTCTACCCCCCCCCCCCTATGATAATTCAACTCTACCCCCCCCCCCCTATGATAATTCAACTCTACCCCCCCCCCCCTATGATAATTCAACTCTACCCCCCCCCCCCTATGATAATTCAACTCTACCCCCCCCCCCCTATGATAATTCAACTCTACCCCCCCCCCCCTATGATAATTCAACTCTACCCCCCCCCCCCTATGATAATTCAACTCTACCCCCCCCCCCCTATGATAATTCAACTCTACCCCCCCCCCCCTATGATAATTCAACTCTACACCTCCCCCTATGATAATTCATCTCTACACCACCCCCTATGATAACTCAACTCTACACCATCCCCTATTATAATTCAACTCTACACCACCCACTATGATAATTAATCTCTACACCACCCCCTATGATAACTCAACTCTACACCACCCCCTATTATAATTCAACTCTACACCACCCCCAATGATAATTCAATTCTACATCACCCCTTAATGATCCATCGGATAATCAACAATTCAATAAACTGTACACAGAAAAAAACAATTCCGCAACTTATCTGAGAGTCTGAGAGTGAAACCTTTGTAACCGGCCTGATGGACGTGTAGCAAACAAGGATTAGCCGGGGTGTGTACAATCATTGTAGATGAAAGAGGTAATTCCAACAGATTTCTGTCACATCAGAAAATAGAGAACCAATGATCCAACTACTTGTTGACCGGGTTTAGTCTGAACCTGAGCTCATCCCTCCTCCTGATTAGTGATGGGCCGAATAGACCAGAATTCGGTTTGAATTAGAAGTTTAGAACATCCAAAAAGTTTGCACTTGAACTCAATGCAAGTCAATGGGGGTTGAAATTTCAAAAACAATTGTCCCCATTAAGAGGGCTTATGTGCAAGTTATTGGTCATAAAGGGTGTATGGGGGTCCAGGTACTGCCCTGGGGGACATGTATGGGGGGTCCGGGTACTGCCCTGGGGGACATGTATGGGGGGCCCGGGTGCTGCCCTGG